AGAGTTGGAGCTGGGATAGAAACCCAGTATGTATTTAAAAATTTAAACAGTATAGAAATCTAAACAACTACTGTGTTCCAAAAGTGAAAACCTCCCTACGAGCCTGGGGAAATGCTCAGTGGTCCTGTGGAGTGGTTCAGATTGCAGTTGGCATCTGTCTCTGGTGCCAGGCTCCTAGACTCTAAAGCTACCCCAGGAGGGGCCAAGACCTGTGCCTGCAGGCAGGAGAAGGCGAGATGAGGAGAGAAGATCAAGACCACCCATCTCAGAATTCTGGAGAATCGGGTGAAAGTCCCTAAGGACAAACCTATCTGGGATGGTCTCTGAATCAAATATCTTGGCCTTAGTCTCTGTCCTAAGCCCCTCTGGACACCGGGAAGTGTCCTTGCTCTCACAGGTGTGACTAGTCTGCATCCGCTTGCCCGTGGTGCTTGAGCTTCCCTTCAGTGTCTTGATGAATCATAAGCTGTTAGTTCTGACAGAGACATTAGAGATTATCTAGCCCAATCCCTTCCATTTTTATATTACACATTGACAGTAATTCATGGCAGAGCCACTAGGACGTTTCGTCTTTGTTTCAGTAAAAGGTCAGCTTACCACTAAACACTGATGTAAGCTATTTCCCTTGATTGCAAAACCCAGAAAAGAATCTCATAACTGTTGTGTGCATCCATTGAGAACCTCTGCAAAACCCCATCTTTAATATTTTGCTCCACCTGCAGTACCCCCTTTTTTTGTGGTAGAGGCCTGTGGGTGGGTAGGGGAGAGCAGAGTAATGCATTTCTATAACGCTAAGAACAGAAGCCCTACTGCTTCCTCACCTGGCATCTTCCACCTCCCAGCATCTCTGCCATATTCAAGGCCAGCAGTCATTCATTTTGTCTGCCAGGCTCCTTATCAGCTTAACCCACTGGCAGGCAGAGCTAAGCTCATCCTTTCATTGCTGGCTGCTTATCTGGGACACAGGACGTGTGGAGAACAGCCTGCCAGGCAGAGAGGAGCCACAACTTTTCCTCTCAGAGCCCCAGCAGATGAGGGGAGCAGCGCTGATGGGCTAGGTCTGCCCCAGGGTCTCATGCCTTTCCTCTATTTGGGACAGCAAACATCTGCACTCTGGCGTCATGGGGCAAGGAGCCGAGAACAGGCAGGGAATGCCTGCAGCAAGTGGGAGACACCACTGCCCCTCTTCCACCCCAGTCACTAAGGAGCTAGCCATGTGCGCTCACCACTTTGCCACCTTCTCCAAGGACCCTCAAGCCACCTCTGCAGCCCATCTCCTGGGCCCCATCCACCACCCTCCCCTCCACTTCTTTTTAGAAACCAAATCCCTGGTTTGGAGAGCATGGTAGGTTCCCATAGCGATGGGCCTTTTAGCTGTTTCCATGGCAACCAACACCCAGACCATTTAGTTGCTAGTCAACTGACAGCTGTAACTGAATAGGATTCAGTTTAGAATCAGAGGGATAGGCCAGGGGATTCTCTTCATAGAAGGAAACACAACAACCCAAAATGACTCAACTCTTCTAAAGACTTTTTTAGGCAACATCTGTGGAGATCCTGTGCCACTTTCTACCACAGATCACACAAGACTGCAGCTCCCATTCCCAACACACACACACACACACACACACCCTCACCCTCCTCAGCTGAGTATCTCAGGCCTTTAAATCCCTCAGCTTCTATTTCCTGATCTCTTTCCCAAGGGCCCCTGGGAAAAGACTTGTTCAAGGTAACTATCACCTTGGTGACATTTTTCACACAAAACCCTTTCCTCTGTGTCAATGCTCTCCCTATGTACCATGACCCTGTCCTCACAACAACCCAGTCATTTAAGCAATATTTGCTTTTTTGATTGTCTGATGTAAATGGCTAATCCCAGATCACCTTCCCTTAGCCTGGACCCCACCTATGTCAAGCCACTTTCCTATGTCCGTGGGTGTTCTCAGAGAACAGACTGTTTTATCAACCTTCGCAAAGCATAATTAAGATCAATCTGTTGCTTTTAAGAAGTCAACTAAAATTTCAAACCAAACATAGGGGATTAGAAATTACTCCATGCTCACTGCTTTTCATTAGCCTGAAGATTTGACTAAATGCCAGCCCTCCCATCTAACGCTCTCCCAAACTGGGGATACTGGGTATTGGATGCCCTTTATTCTGTAAACAGGGGTCTGCATCATGTTTTTTTTAACCACTGGAGTCTGGGGTTTCTCTACTCTGGAAATCACGCAAGAGAGGAGCTGTCTAAGCCTCCATGGCTTGCTCAGTGGACTAGAAAAGCGTGAGAGCATCACAGGAAAGAGCATGATCTTTCTGAGGGGGCTTCCCGCAAACCCTCTGTACAGAAGACAACCTTTCAAACTAATCCCTCCATGGGAGCCCTACCCAGCTCACTGCTGCAGGCTCCATGTAGCCTCACAATGGCTGGTAAACAGTTCTAAGCTGTTGCATGACCCTTCTGCTCTAACAGAAGGGTATACACTAGTGGAACTGCTTTTTTTCTGTCTTCCTTCAACATATGAGGGCAGAAGTACAAAATGCAGGGCAGGCAGTTGTTAGCCTCAAAGGAGCTCAATGACATGAGAGTCTTCTGGGATTCGGGCGAGAGCAGACGCATATGAGAACTGAGTTTTCCAGGCACGTGAGAAAGTTCCTGTGCACAGAGGATTGCCTCACTTTTGAGGTGACGTATCATCACACATCAGATTGAACCTTCTGATTTTCCTGCTATACCCAGATGAGGGACAATGTCTGTCTCTTGGAATGCAGCTAACATTTACTGACTATGTACTATGTGCCAGGGGTCATTCTAAATGCTTTACATGCATCGCTTCATTTAATCCTCACAGCTCTACTGTTATTAACTCTAGTTAACAGATAAGGAAACTGACACACAGAAAAGTTAAGGGATTTAAAGATCATACTGGTTATCCTACTGATTGGTGAAGCCAGGATCCAACTACCGGCAGTCTGAAGCCAGAAACCACAGCAGTTAACCACCTTTGGAATCCATTTAAGTTTGATATACCCAGGGTTCAGCATATGGAGACAGAGTGGGCTGTCCCTCTAGACACAATGTGATAGGATACACAAAACATCTTAGCCAGAGTACAGTGGTTGAATGGCTCCAGGAATTAACTAGGAAATCTTGGCCGTTGATAACATTATTCCCAATCTATTGCTGTCCCCTGGTGGTTTTCCTGGGAAACTCACAAGCCAAAGAAATCCAAGAAATCTAGTGAAATCAGTAGGATGAAAAGAACTGGACCAAATGACTTATTTGCTGCATAAGCACCCCAGACTAAAAGAGATGACCTTCCACATTACCCAACTCCTTTGTGAATAGGGCTGTAATCTCTGTGACAGCTAAAACCTGATTGGTAGTACTTTGATTCAAAACAGCAAAATATATGCCCCATGATTATACTTGTACTTGAAGAGCAGGACACTCCAAGATTTAAATAATCGAGCCATTACTTCCTGCAACTTCACATTTCATCTTTAAGCTTCTAGGCTTTCTTCAAGGCAGAAGGTTCCCAAAGATTGCTGTGCTTATGCCAACTTGTAACTTCCTACTCCCCGCCTCAACCCCAAATTCAGCTCTCCTGACCTTGCAGATGCTGTTATTCAACTAGGTGATGTTTGCTTTCACTGTTTCTTTCAAGCACACTTGGTGGTATAAGACTGTGCAAAGTGAAGCAAACAAGGTCAATTTGCGTAAGATAGAGAGGTGAGGCCTAACTGTGTGAAAGCGAGAAGTGGCAGTTTCTGAAAGTCATGTCTTTACAGTACTGTACTCTGGGACCATGGGACCAGGTGTCCACCTACCATGGATCTAGGGGAACATACTCTGTGAAAGAAGCAGGTGTCCACAGCCCAAATGCAGAAGAAAAGATTGACGAGTTTTTATTTATTCAAAGGGACATTTCCAGGTGCATAAAGAAGCCACAAGTTAGTGCTGTTAAAAAAAAAAAAATCAAACATCTGCTAATCAAGTGATGCATTTAATGAAAACTACCTAAGATAGTAAAGGAGACATGAGCTAACTGCAGAGAATTTCCGTTGTAGAATACCTCCCCTCCACTACCACGCTGGACACCACTGCAGGGCAAGTCATGGCCGCTGAAGCAGCGGGGCTGGAGGTGAGGAAGCTCATTGGCAGATGAACTCAACGAGGCACGTGGAGATGAGGAACTTGCAGATGTAATATCCCACCTAGATGGATGTGGTTTGGAACCCGTGCTTTGCTGCAAGGGCTAGTAACCCTAGGGCAAGTTATCCAATATCCCCCAAGCAGCATCATTTGGATCATGTCTGGTTAGACCCTCCTTATTCCAAAAGCAAAAACCAAACCAAAACAAACAAACAAACAAACAAAAAACTCCCCCTGAAGACAATTAAATCAATCCCTACAGTCTCACTTTCTCTTCCTTCCTTCAACCCTCTTACAAAGGATAATACAGGGGCAACAGTTCTGAGCTCTCAGGAAATAGGGTCTTAGATACTTTTGGAGGTTGAGAGGCTAGAACGGCAGTCTAGAAATTCCTTTCATCTTATGGCACTGATTTAGTTTAGACGTGATCTCTCCTCCTCTCCCTCCACCCGTGCTCTCTCACCCCCAGACAGACATATTGGCATCAAACAGCTCTAGCTTTCAATCTGTACTGGGATTTCCCAGCAGAAGAGACGTTGGTCGTTGTCATCCTTAAGTTCCCACTCCACCACCAGTTTTATCTGGAGAAAGAGAAAAAGAATTGGGAAAAATGAAACTAGAACCTCACCTCAATCCAGAATGGGTTTAACTATGAATCCTAAATGTAAATTGTAACAAACTGCCTAATTCCTCATCCTTTTCTTATTAAGTCACGCCACCATGAAGGCTGCTTGGGATGTGGGCACAGCCTGTGTCCTTAAGCTTAGAAGGGCAAACCAAGTTACACTTAGGATTTGGTGTTAGCAGTGCCACATCCTAGTCTAGTTAGCTTCTCAAACACAATTTCTAAAGCATTTTTTTCCCTCTGAGATCAATGGTACATAAATGAAGCCAGGACTTCCCTGGTGGTGCAGTGGTTAAGAATCCGCCTGCCAATGCAGGGGACACAGGTTTGAGCCCTGGTCGAGGAAGATCCCACATGCCGTGGAGCAACTAAGCCCATGTGTCACAACTACTGAGCCTGCGCTCTAGAGCCTGTAAGCCACAACTACTGAACCCCGCGTGCCTAGAGCCCATGCTTCACAACAAGAGAAGCCTACCGCAATGAGAAGCCTGCGCACCACAACGAAGAGTAGCCCCTGCTCGCTGCAACTAGAGAAAGCCCGCGCGCAGCAACGAAGACCCAATGCAGCCAAAATAAATAAATGAATGAATTAATTAATTAAAAAAAAATAAAGCCATCCATGAAAAATAATTTTGCATTTAAACAATTTCACATGCATTTTGACAACCTGATCCAGCTTTTTCCAACTTTAACTATGAAGTATGAAGAGTAAAAAGTTAGATTCTTGGGGCTTCCCTGGTGGCGCAGTGGTTGAGAGTCTGCCTGCCGATGCAGGGGACACGGGTTCGTGCCCCGGTCCGAGAAGATCCCACATGCCGCGGAGCGGCTAGGCCCGTGAGCCATGGCTGCTGAGCCCGTGCGTCCAGAGCCTGTGCTCCGCAACGGGAGAGGCCACAACAGTGAGAGGCCCGCGTACCGCAAGAAAAAAAAAAAAAAAAAGTTAGTTCTTAGGTCTCAGGAAACTTACTTGTTAGCTGGAAAAGGAAAGGTCAAAGCACAAAGGATATTCAAAGAAGTTTAGGGTGGTATGAATACTTTCAGGGACAATGACCTTTGTGGCAATACAGTTTTGATTAATGCCCTTAAACTCTTTTTGTTTTGTTTTGTTTTTATGCGGTATGCAGGCCTCTCACTGTTGTGGCCTCTCCTGGTGCGGATCACAGGCTGTGGACACGCAGGCTCAGCGGCCATGGCTCACGGGCCCAGCCGCTCCGCAGCACGTGGGATCTTCCCGGACCGGGGCACGAACCCGTGTCCCCTGCATCGGCAGGCGGACTCTCAACCACTGCGCCACCAGGGAAGCCCCAAACTGTTTTTTCTTTCTTCGATAATATACCCCCTTAGAGATCTCTGCCTTGACTTGTTACACTCATACTATGAGCTGTCTCTTCCAATTCTTAATAAGGCACTGGCACTTCGCCAGTCCTTTCTTAAACTTACTTGCTTTTAGTTACAACCTCTCTTTTGTACTCAAAATGTTTCTTCAGAATGCAACATTTGAGTGACAGTGATACCCAGCTTCTTGAAACTTGTTTGATAAATTTTTCAAGACTAGTACACATTAACTACTGTTTCACTTAGTGCACACATTAACATAGTTTAAGCTGGTTTTCAAATGAAATGTCACTTAAGCTGCGTGGCATGGCAAAAACAACAAAAACAACAACCAACAAACAAAAAACAAATGAAATGTCACTTAACAATAGCTACCATATATTAAGTGCCTACTCGGTATCAGGCCCTAACTAGACACTCCAAGTTACTGAGGCTCAGATATGCCCATGATCACATGGTTGCTCTGCAAATTAATCTACAAATCTCTTCCCGGCCTTTAGGGTCTCTGATACCGCTTAAGCACAGACTCCCTGTATCTGAGTCTTTTTATAATGTCCTTTAATTACTTGCTGTTTCTAGGAAATAAATGGCCAGATTGCTCCTGGTTCTACTTGATCTCCTTTTAAGAAATACAGCTCTAGGGACTTCCCTGGTGGCAAAGTGGTTGAGAGTCAGCCTGCTGATGCAGGGGTCAGAGGTTCGTGTCCCGGTCCGGGAAGATCCCACATGCCGCAGAGCGGCTGGGCCCATGAGCCGTGGCTGCTGAGCCTGCGCATCCGGAGCCTGTGCTCCGCAATGGGAGAGGCCACAACAGTGAGAGGCCCGCGTACCGCAAAAAAAAAAAAAAATGAAAAAGTGAAATACAGCTCTAGGGACTTCCCTGGTGGTACAGTGGTTGGAGTCCGCCTGCCGATGCAGGGGTCACGGGGTCGTGTCCCGGTCCGGGAAGATCCCACATGCCGCAGAGCGGCTGGGCCCGTGAGCCATGGCCACTGAGCCTGCACGTCCGGAGCCTGTGCTCCGCAATGGGAGAGGCCACTGCAGTGAGAAGCTGCGCACCTTAGCGAAGAGCAGCCCCCGCTCGCCACAACTGGAGAGAGCCTGAGCACAGCAACAAAAAAACCCCAACGCAGCCAAGAATTAAATAAATTAAAAAAAACAAAACAAAGAAATACAGCTCTTTTTCTTCATGGAAAAAAAGTAATCCCTTTACTTCCTCCATTCTTATCAAGATTCATACTGTTAACACAGGCTCATTCCAGCAGGCTCTATCTCACAAGTGTTTGGTAGAAAAAGAAGTAGGTACAGCAGGGCGAGTCAGAGGTGAAGGTTGAGGGTGGTGGTGGTGGCAGAGGAGAGAAAGCAGAGGAAAAAGCCACCGCTCTGCTATGGACCTAATAAATTACTGCTTTCTTGTTAAGAGATTAATGGAGAAACCAGGTTTTTCTGATGACAATGCTCTGACTCCTTGAAATCTTGAACTATTTGGTACCTAGCTAAAATCTTGTAATATTGCACAGGTTTTGGAATCACGAGACCTGGGTCTCAATCTAGGATGTAATTCTTGGCAGAATGGACTCTGTTCATATTGCATAGCATTGGAGGCTAACATCTCTTCATCCGTAGAATAGGGATAGTATCACCTCTACACAGGTGGTCACAAGAATCCAGTGAAATACTGTATATAAAAAAGGCATCGTTAGGCCCAGGCTGACCATTAAGCAAGAGACGAAGAACAAAGGGACACAGTGAAAACTCTCTGCCCCAGCTCAAGATTCCTACACTCCTTTCGCCCAGGTGTCCAACTCTTCCTCATAGAGATGAAGGATTCCTATTCTAATCTTTTCTTCCTGCCCCCTCTCCTCAGATTTCCAATCTAGTCACAGGACCTTCGGTGTCCTCAACTACAACGTCACTTACAGAGGGGTATTCACTCTTCACGGGTAGTTTATTCAAGTAGCTATAGGTCTTGTCTTTTTCAATGGGGCAGCTGATTCCACTCTTACAACCGTCAGGCTCAGGAATAGGAAAGGGAATTGCAACGCCCATCACAATGCCATGCACCACGGCTTTGCTACTTTGAGACTGAGTGCCTAAGAGAAAAAAAAAGAGAATAAGATGGTGAAGGAAACAGCCTATTTCCAAACTCTAAATAAAAAATTCAGACATATTCTCAAGCAACACCATTGCTGGGACAGCAAACCAAATTCTGTACCTCTTAATTCCTAGGGTCTATTTCTCTTTGGAGTTATACTTAGTACCTCCATGAATGCTATACAGCAAGCATTCACTCTGAAACTTGAAAACTTACTGAATTATTAAAAAAAAAAAAGCAGTCAGTGGGGGCTGTTTTCTTTGCTGTTGACCCCACCTTGCTCTTCACTGCCTTCATAGTTTCTCAGGAGAATCAGAGCCACCTGGATGGATAAATAACTTTATCGAACAAGCTAACTGATTTTTGGTGGTAAACTTTCTGTTTACTATTTACATCAGATTCTGTCAAAGTGTATTGCGTATCTTAAAGGGTTTGGGGAGACTGGTCTCTGAATTCTCAAATACCCTGTCCAAAGGATTCCGATAGAAATTAAGAATAAAATGGAAGACAATATAGAAAGAGGGAACAGGAGTCTCCATAGAAATGCCATGGGCTGTAACAGCAGTGAAAGCGGTAACCCTTTAGAAACTGGGTAAAAGAAAGAGGAACATTTCTTGCTAACCTCTACCCTCCATATTGCAAGTTGGGCAGAGGAATAAATATACTAAAATTAGGGCAACTGGAGTTATGCACTATTAGGTTCTTCTGGAGATCCAGAGCATTGGCTCTGCTTCTTTCTTTCTGTCTGGGTTGGGAATTACTTTTGTTTAGAAGGTACTTTTTTGGTTTGGAACAATAGAGGGGACAGGGTATTGTCTAGGAGAGAGAACAACTCTAGGACTTAAGAGCTGTCTTTAGGCTTACAAACAAGAGATGATAGAAATCTCAAAGTTCCTAATTAGTCTGTCTAGTTTAGTTCCATAGGATAGAAAATGAGGGAAAGATTCAAGGTAGATGCTCTTTCTAGAAACAGAGATTTTCACATTGTCTAGATTCCTGGGAATCTGAAGGAAATGAATGTGGTACCAGAAAGAAACAAGTTCCAATAACATGTCTCCCAGTTGAAGAAGAAAGCTTCTTGATTGTTTCTTGGGTCACCAGTGAGTTCCCCAAACCTTACAGAGGCTAAATATCAATTGTTCCTATATTTTCAGGCAGAATATAGACTTAACAGCCGGAAGATATATTGCTTGAAATAACACTTTGGAGGCGTTCCAGAGTCTACAGGGTTGGGGTCTGTACTAACACTCTGCAGTCAGTAGCTTAACAGAGCTGACACTCCCATGAAATCCACTGTACAAGGTGGACCAAAATAGGGCACGGAGAAGCCAAGCTGTCTTCTTTGACCTGTGAAAACATAGAAATCCCCCTGTTTGCTCGAAAGGAGTCTGGCAGCTATGGATTCTGAGAAACAGGCATATGGGAACCCAGTATGAGAAGGGAGCACAGTGTAAGAGCATAGTGAATCCAAGCTTTGCCCATTGAGAGGGAGGTCACAGAATTCCTGACTGCAATTCCCCTCCCTCATATTCCCACACTTATTACAATACTTGAGATTGATGTTACGCTTTAAGATGAATTTGAAGGTAAGAGCCACTTTTACTCACTACTGGTGAATGTGACATTGACACTGTAAGACTGTCCTTTGTGCAGTTGGCAGGGCTGGGTGGAGCACGGGTTCACATTCACTTCCTTTATAACTCCGACCCCAGAACCTGCAAAAGAAGAAACATTTATTGAAATGGGTGGGAAAACAAACCTCCTAGGCTGTCTCTTACCTAACGGGAAGGTGCTCTGCCTTCCCAATGGGGGTGAGTTCTTTCTCCGACCATCCGTGGTCCCCGGGAAACTGTTCACATTTGACAGGTGAAAGGGAATTAAAGAAATTATTGAGTATACCTAGTCAGCTCCCCTGCTCTATATCCTGGGAGGGCTATTCCAGGGAAAATCATCCCCACCCTTCCTTCCATCCTGACACAGGATTTTAAAGCAGCACACACGGCATAAGCAATGGCTCAGGTTGCACCGCTACTGTTTCCATTTGGAATCTTGAGACTGGCTGCTCCCTAACTGCCCTTCCCTACCATCTTTCAATCCTGTCCTGGTAGCTCTCCAAATCAGTGGTCTCTGAGCTTTGTATATTCCTACCGATGAGAACAATCTTAAGCACGCATCTGTAGTACACTCTACTCTGGAACCTGTGTTCTTCAAAATAAGTGTCTTTGAGGCAGGGTGTGTGTCCTTTTTTTTTTTTTCAGTCTAAACAAGGACAAAAATACCTTGACCAAAAAAGGTTAAGTACAAATCTTTAAGAATCTCCTTACTTCATCCAGGCCCCTGAAACCAGACAGCTGAATGGGAGAGAATGCAAGTAAACAACAGGGTAAGCTTAAGCTCCGCCACTCATATACCACTGCTGACAGCTAGACTCTGGGATCCGACACCTGGCTTTGAAATCTCACTGGCTCCATTACTTACTATGGAACCTTAAGGCAAGATACTTAGCCTCTCTGGGGGCTAATAATGGTACCTACCTCATAGGGTAGGTGAGCTAATACACATATAGCTCTCAAATAAGTGCTTGGAACATAGTAATGCTATATAGGTATTCACTATTACTATCATATTGGGATTTAGTCCATGAATTCAATCTAGAGTAGCTGCTCCTGGGTGGGTTAGCAAGTTTCCCTTTCATACAAAGGGTGAGCCTCTCACCTCAAATTTACTTTGTGGGTAGAAATTATGGATCTAAACAATAGAATGGACTCTGTCTCAAAAGTAGAATGCACGAAGACAGAAAGGAAAAGGCAGGTTGAGAGCACATTATCTGCCTGCTCTTGGGTGGAAGAGCTGCATCGTATTGACTAACACTGCTTCAGCGAGGTCTGTAAATCATACTTAGCAGTTCCCTATCACCAACTTGCTTCTCCATCATGGCAAAGTTCTCAAACAATAAATACAAGATTCTCTTCTTTAAGCACTCTCTTCTACTCTGTCCTATCGTCTATGGCCAGGAAAGAAAATATCTGGAATTTTAGTCAACAACGTATTGAAAATCAGTGCTTATGCTGAAGCTTGCAACTTCTAGTTTCTTTCAAGGCTGCGTCACATGATCTAGTAGGAACTGAGTAGAGGGCAGTACTTGTAGCTCCTTCACCCAGTTTTATTTTTGCTGACAAGACATTCCTGGACTTCCAGTGTCAATAGAGCAAACTTCTCAGTCCTAACCTGCAAAAATTGCAAAACTAGTTCGCTTGGCCCCATTTCTCACTTGAGGAAATACCACTTCAGGGAAAGGGGGCATAGAGTGGGACTCAAAAAAACCTTTTGATGTGGGCACTGAAGTTTTTACACTCTATTTCCCAATTCAAAAGTAAATTGAAAGTCTGTAACTGAAACTCTCCTTCCCTTAAGAGGTTTTTGCCATAGGTCTAACACCTGCTTTATTCACATGAGCAGAACAATGTCAGGATTTAGTTTCCTTAGTTGTTTTCCTTTTTTTAATTTTTAATTTTTTTGGCCGCGCCGCGGCTTGCAGGATCTTAGTTTCCTGACCAGGGATGAAACCCCTGCCCCCTGCAGTGTAAGCGTGGAGCCCTAACCACTGGACCGACAGGCGAGTCCCCCCCCACCTTTTTTTTAATGTTAATGTTACTGTTGAAACCCAAAGTGACTCACAAACACCCACTAGTTTCTTACTGCTTACTAGGAACCTGGTTCCTTACTGCTGTAAGAACTTGGGCAAGTACCTTAATGTGCCTGTTTCCTCATCTGTAAAAGAGATTGTGAGAGCTGAGTGACAATAAAGTTAACAGTGTCTTCATCCAAATGTTGGCCACTAAGCTTAGTGAAGAGAAAGGCAGTAATTTGCGGTGATAATAGGATCTTTCAAATGCCAGTCTCCTAGTTCAGTGGAACAGCATTTGTTATGTATAAATAGGCCAGCAATTTTTATTCCTTAATCACTCCTGTCTCCTAGCCCCCAACTTTGCTTTTGCCTCAACATGAATTTTGGAGATATAGTGGAAAGAGTATTTCTTCCCTCATTTACTTTTCCAACAAATATTTATTAAGCAGTTACTATTACCTGGGCACTGGATATGAAGGAGCAAATTTATTCTGGTTGCCATTCTGCTGTGTGACTGGGTAAGTAACCTAACATCTCTGGAATTCAATGATTGACTATAGGATCTCCAAGTTTCCTTCCAGCTCATAAATTTTATAAAATCAGTTTCATGCCTCTTTCATTTATTATTACACCTCTCCACTTCAGAAAAGTTCTGCTCAAACAATTTGATAGACTTGACTGAAGGAGCTCACAATTTCTACCCCCTGTTGTGTTTCTCAACAAAGATTCCAACCATAGCTGCATGAGAGGGTTATGCATCACAAGTTGTGACCAGCAACATGAGTTTTATAAATAGGAGAGGAAAACTGGTAAGAATCACAAAATTCCATAGCCCAAAGGACGCCCTAACGGAATAACTCATGAAAAGGAGGACTTTCGACTTACCAGCAAAAAGGAAATTTAAAAAAGCAAAAGGAGTGGAGAGGCAGAGGACATCCAAGACACAAGGCATAAATAAAAAGCAGTTTTGCGCCGCACCCCTTACGCCCAACGCTGCACATGGACCTTCGGTTGTTTGCCCTACAATCTTTAGGAAACTTCAGCAAAAGGCCCACCTCCAGGAATGTGCTGGGATCCCAAACACGCGTTCCAAGGAAGGAGAAAAGTTGTGAGTGGTCGGGTTCCATCCAGGCCAGCACCCTGTCCCCTACCCCAACCCACTCCAGCCCACTCCACGAGGGGTCCGAGGCTGAGCCTGGCGGCCCGAGGGACCCACCCAACCTAGCTCGGAGATCTTAGCACCGGGTTCTGTCGGGGTCTCCCGCAGAGGGTTGCGGGGACCTCAGGCTGGCCCCGGGGCTCACCGCAGTCCTTGAAATGCACCGGCTCGGCCAGGGCGGAGGCGCTGAGTGCCAGGAACAGGAACGCGGCGCCCAAGAAACGCATGGCAGCTTACACTGCAAGCTCAAGGAATGAAGAACCAGATTCCGCGGTCACAAGATAAACCTTCAGGGGCGGGCCGGGGGAGGAGCCCAGTCAGGCGACTGGCCACCAGCAACCGGGTCCGAGGCCTGCCCGCGCCCCGCCCCCGGCTCCAGGGAGCCAGACACAGGGTCCCAGACATTCGCAAACCCCGCCCATCCGGTCCGCTTTGCTGCCGGGCCAGCAGGCTTCCACCTCCCTCCCGCCCAGCTCCTCTCTCCAATGCTCCGTCCGAACTTTGTGGGTGAGTCCCACAAATGCTTCCGCAACGGGAGCATTTCTAGCCAATCAAATCCCCCCTCCTCCTGCACCACCCAATAGGTGTGCTCAGAGGCGGGGTCTCTGTGGATCCCGTTTCCCGAGGCCCAGACGCAGAAGGGGATTGGGACAATGCGAGGGGCGGTGCTTGTGGAAGAAAATGGCGGCCGTCAGAGGGTTGAGTCTAACGGCTGTGGCCCTGAGAGCAGTCACTCTCTGGCCAGGGGGCAGGTACCAAGCCTAGAAAAGCACCTGGGAAGGGTGTTTGGTTCTGCGCCTCCAGGACTAAAGGGAAACTAAGGCTCGCGGGGGAGGTGAAGGTTTGGCGTGAGGCTGTCCAGGTGGAGGGCGCCAGGTGCCTCTCTGCTCCCAGGCTCACCCTCTCCCCTTGCGCAGCAGGCTCCTCGCGGCCTCCCGCGGACCTCGGGCGCTTCGGGAACTGTCGTCCTCCAGCCCCGAAGCTGGCGAAGGGCAGATCCACCTCACCGACAGCTGCGTCCAGGTAAGAGGCCGGACGCGGGGCAGCGGTGGCGGGCGAGGGCCGGGAGTGGGGGGATCTCCCTTTGGTCTACCTTTCTCTTTCCCCTTGCCTGGCATTCTTGACCCCCCTTCCTGCATTTCAGAGGCTTCTGGAAATCACCGAAGGGTCAGAATTCCTCAGGCTGGAGGTGGAGGGAGGTGGATGCTCCGGATTCCAGTACAGATTTTCACTGGATACAGTTATCAACCCCGACGACAGGCAAGGAGAAAGGGGTGGGTTCCCAGAGAATGTGCAGGAGGGATAAAAGTGTCTCCAGTTTAAGGTGCACTTTTATTCCACATTTAAAACGTTTGCTAAGGATAATTTAACATCACCCTTCTCACACAGTGGGGATACAGTGAAGATTTGTTGTCTTGATTCAAAATAACTAAGTCATAGGAGGAAAACTGGCCCGTCTAGGTGCATAGGGTAGTTGGTAGAGGGTCAGGCTGGACTAGAAAGATTCCAGGCTTAAACCTCTAAACATTTCCTAGTATTCATTCCGTTGAATCTTTTTGCCTCAGAGAAGATCAGCACCTGTTAGAGGTAATAAGGGAAGCTTCCTCTGTATTTCAGAAAACAGGATGGGCATCTCTGGGCTCAGAGGGTGTTATGTTTTTGGTGTGTATGATATACATTAATGCCGTCCTCCCATCTTTTCAGGGTATTTGAACAGGGTGGGGCAAGAGTGGTGGTTGACTCTGATAGCTTGGCCTTCGTGAAAGGGGCCCATGTGGACTTCAGCCAAGAACTGATCCGAAGCTCATTTCAAGTGTTGAACAATCCTCAAGCACAGCAAGGCTGCTCCTGTGGGTCATCCTTCTCTGTCAAGCTTTGATGTGATGACAGGTGACCCAGAGATTACCATCATCTGTATGGATTTGAGGAACCTGGGATTAGAAGAATTCTAGAGGTTTCCTTCCAATCATGTCCCTCTCACAGTTTGATTTCCCTCAATCCAGGAATGCTCTGTTTCACCACTATTTATTTTCAGAATGTGAAGCTTTTACTCTTGAGTTAATTTCTCCCACACAGTTGTAAGGCCAAGCCTGTAGATGCTATTACGTAAGATTTAGTAACTTGTTGAAACCAGTATCATCTGTAGAGCCTCCAAGGTTCCAGAATTTGGAATTCTCTGGCCTTCAGAGCTACTTGTACATATGTGTATAGTTGTGTGTAAAAGCTTCATTTTAAAGAAAGTCCTTAATTACTTGTGTTGTGGATCAGGGTCATAGATTGGGTAGGTTGAACACTGGTTACTAGGCCAGAGAGGATGAAAAAGGCAAATGAAATGTTATCTTTTTCATCTCATCCTTCCTGAATGTGCTAGTTGACTTACCCTTATTTTCTATGCAGCCCTTTCTCTGCTTCCCATTTGTTACAGCAGATACATTTTCCTCTCATACTCATGAATCTGCTAGATTCACAAAACCAATTGCCCATCACCCAGAAAACTTGGACCTAAACCTCACTGATACTTGAATTGTTCGAAAAATAGCCTCATACTCCATATTCACACAGACATTTTAAGCTTTGATCCCTTAGTGACTGAATCGTTTTAGAATATGTTGCTTCACTTACCTTATGGTGTAAAATGTTTCTGGTCTCATTGCATAGCAGGAAGTGGTCCCTTTGTTGGCATAGATAATAGATACTTGGGGATTTTTTTTTTTTTTTTTTTTAGTTTGGACTACCAGATAAAATGCAGGATGCCCATTTAAATATGAATTTCAGATAAACAGCAAATAATTTTTAGTATAAGTGTGCCTCAGTGAATACTAGAAATTATTTGTTGTTTATCTGAGATTCAAATTTCACCAGGTATCCTGTATATTTACTTGTTAAACTTGGTAACCTTACTTTAGAGTCACTGAAAGAAGAGCTTTTTAGCCACAAATTCCAATGAATTTTAAAGTACTTGTTTGGTATAGCACTTAAATAAGCTAAAGAGCTAGAAATAATCGTGGTATGTGTGTGACGGAGCTGGGGCAGCCAGAACTGCACGGACAGACAACTAAAAAAAGGTAAAAACACCACCACCATGACAAATGATTAATGAATGCTAATGCTGGGGAAACCACAACCAAGTTGATTCTGTAAGGATTATTGGTTAAACCCATCTTTTCCTCGAGAGCCTAAAAGTTCATGTTAGCAAATCTTGCATTTCTGGGCTGGATTGAAATTTTTCTAGACTGGATTGGAATTAAGGCCATTCAATAAAGAATTTACCATTAGAAAAATAGAAATACAGAATTTAGAGACAAAATATCTGAGACAGAAACTTCATACTTACATTTTCAATATGGGAAAACCTAGGACTTAGAGAAAACAAACCTATCGTGTGTGCAGTGTGTACAAAGATGAAAGAAAGGGACACTCAGAAACCTGAGCAGTTTTTTTTTTTTTAGCAGATATCCATGGAAGGGGGCAGAAAGCAGCATACTGTGGAAGTGTCTGTGTGTAAGTTTACTAAGCCATTGAAAGTTGCTGCCAATACCTGGGCCTAATAAGATTTTCAGCTCAGACTAAGGCCTTTCATCCTCGTTAGAAAGAGATTTTGTTACATGTGAGGTGTTAAACCTCTTCTTCCATGATATTTTTGTGGGTTATTTATTTATATGGTGATCTTAGCACCGGCATAATACCTTTAGTTGTTCAAAAAACAATTAAATTCCAGTGGCCAATTAGGCAGGAACAGGGTCTCTTTGATTGACCATGTGTAAATACCTCATATTAATGGAAGAATTGGAATTTTGTGTTTACAAAGGGTGGGTTAGGGAGGAATCACCTTATCGCACTGGAAAAGCTTCATAGGGAAACCTGAGGTGGTGACAAGAGGTCCCCATTGGAGGAGGGCAATGTAGAAATTTTAAGAACACAGGGCAGGGTGAGTTGATAGCATCAAGGGGACGGGGCAGTTGGCTTGGAATGATAGTAAGTGGTGGTAAAATAAGTTTAGGATCTTCCGTAGGCTCTTCTGACCAGATGCCCTCTTCCTGGCAGGCCATAAAAGGCAGCACACGTTTTCACAAATTGTGCTCACGGCGCAGTTCATTTAGGAAAATGTTATACTCTTCCAGTATCAGCTGGAAGATTTTTTTGCCTCCCTATTACTTTGACGGGAGGTTATCAAGACGCTATCTATTGCAGAATTGGTTTTATTTAACTTCATAAGCTAGTGACTGCCTGGGGCAACGTGCCCCACCATTGCCGTAGCCAAACATAATCGTGTAAGAACTGAAGGCACAGGAGCCGTCCCTCTGCTTTATGTGTGAATCTTTATGTTGTTGGCTCAAAAGAGGGGGCTTCTTGGTCAACATCCAGATCTTTCCTTGTTGCGGGATCATACTCTTCAGTTACATGATTGATAGTGACCAGTGGTATATAAACTATAGGTGTCCCACCCACCCTTAGTTTCTTTGGGAATGTTGACCAGTTACAAGGGATTCAGAAGTAAGAGATTAGGAAGGACTACTAAGGTAGGTATCCAAGAAGATACTCTTCTTTCTCTAACTTTTCTTCTGAGAATTGCACCCCATTCTTTTGGTCTTTTGTCATAAAGCGTGAGCGGAGGGTCGATATTTGGCAGGAGCATCCTATACAGAGAAGTGGGCAGCACTGACTGTCATGGGGTAGCCCTCCCGTGAACTCTGGCCCTGAACTGACACCCTGCAGTGGGCAGAGCCTAACACTGTCCCTTGCAACATTATCATGGTCTTGCATGTTTGTCTCAAAAGCAGGAAACTCCTCTACTTTTCTAGATATCTTGCCTTGATGTTTATGATTGCTCTTTTAAAATCCTTGTTTGCCATTTCTCCACAGAAATGCCGCAGGGCTGTTTAAAGGAAGTTTGCTTTAAGAAGTTTTGAAATAATTATCACCTGGCTTTAATTGTAAAATATAGTCAGATTAAGTATATAAAGAGAGGGAGCATTTAAGCAGTCTATGTCCAGCAGCTGTATTTAAAAATATTTTATTTTTGAATAGGTAAGACATATGGTACAAAATTCAAAAAGACACAAAAGGGAATACAGTGAAAAGTCTCCCGATCCTGTGCCCATCCACTCTGTTGCCCTCCCCATCAACTACCCTTGTTTCTAAGAATTTAGCCCACAGGTACAATTCCGTAGATACAATGTGAAATAACATATGCACAAGAATGTTCATTACAGCATTATTTTTAATAGCAAAAGATAGGAAACAATGGAAATATCCATTAATAGGGGACTGATTAAATAAATTATGATTTATCCGTTCAGTGGAGATGTATACAGTTATAAAATAGAATGAGACAGCCCTTTATGTGCAAGTATGTATTAAGTAAAAAAAGTGCAGAACAGCATGCACAGTTTATGCCATTTGTGTTTCTAATACAGGGAAGTATGTGTACATGCATGAACTATCTTGGGAAGGGCGAGCAGGAAGGCGAGGGCTGGGAGGAGGAGCAGTGGGAACGGCATTTAAGGAAGTGCAGTGCCCGAAGGGTATATTGAGGAATGGTGAGTTCTCTGAAATAAGGCGTGTGAGCTGGAGTGGCAAGGATGAGGTTAGCAGATATCCAATTCTTCTCCCCCTCTGTTTTAGACAAATAGCAATAGCAGCGTAGGCGTCACTTTGTTGTATAACCTTCCTTTTTCCCTTAATCTATTTTGGAAATCCTACCCAGGCATTTAGAGCCACTTTTTTTTTTTCTTATTAGGGCTCCATAGCAATTAATTGCTTCTAACCTTTTGCTGTTACAAATAATGCTATAATAAATAACCTCTTACATATGTCATTTTTCATTTGGTAAGAATATATCTGAAGGTTAAATTCCGAGAAGTGGAATTACTGATTTAAAGAGTAAGTGCTTTTATAATTTTGAAAGACACTGCCATATTATCCTCTTCAGAAGTTGTGTCAATATATATTCCTGTCAGCTATATACGTGAGTACCTCTTTCCCCAGGTGCTTGCCAACTAGGAGTTTTAACAAACTTAAATCTTTGCCAATCTGACAGTTTAAAAAAGTGTCTCGGTGTAGTTTTAACTTGTATTTCTTTGTATTATGAATGAAGGTCAGAATATTTTCATATGTTTAAGAACTATATATTTTTGTCTGCTGAGAACATCTCAACTAGTATAGTGACGTAGACAGAACAAATTATTTAAGCTTTGTAAATCCAAGTACCTCATCTGTAAATTGGGAATAAAAATAGGAAGTAGGATTGTTGTATGATTAAATGAAATTTGTGTACAGCATTCAACACAGGCCTGGCACATAGCAAGCATTCAATAAGTTATTTTGTGATGGCTGACAGAGCAGCAGGTAGGACAGGACAGATTAAATTAAGAAAAGAGCATTCATCTATCTCCATGTCTTCAGGCACACAGAGCCTTGTTCATTTACATTGCCATTCATCAGAGAAATGCAAAGTCAGAACTTTCTTTGTCTTAGAAGAGGAAAGAACCTTTTCCTATTGGATATTGGAACCCAATCATAGGCTATCGGCAGAGCTGGCGAGGGGGTAGCACAGCCTCATCTCTAACATTTAGACTCAGCCAAGAAATTTGGTTTATAAATTTGGTTTAATATGAAATAAAAACAAAAACAGAAGAGCCCAGATGTACATTTCTTTATTCCACCATGGTTTTGAACTCCCAGCTAGCCGAGGTTGGAGGGAGTCTCTACTTGTAAACTCAGTGGGATGCCAGCCAGCCGTTTTATGTAGGGGAATAGGACAGAGGCCTCTGAGTAGAGAGAAGAAACAACATAGGAAATCTCGCTTCCCCTAAACAAGATTACACTGTATTTCATAAGCTAGAAAATAGACCTCTTTATTTTTAGCACATCAAACTGGTGTCCACAAAAGGAGAGCCCAGGAGAGATTTGTTTCCTGTAAGAAGCAGTATGTATTTAACAGAGGTCTTCTGAGGTGGGCACCCTGCTTTGTGGCAGCCCTTGCTGTGGTGTACAGGAGCTATTGCTGGGTAGATTCTGAATGTTTATTTACCTGAAGCTACTGAATATTTTCTTTAGTCTTGTATAAAGCCCTGGCTCCCCCTTTTTTTATCAGCTCCCCATATTTTTTTACATTGCCTTTTTGCTGCTTTCTCAGGCTCCTTGCTCCCCTTCATCTGTGTCTCTTACTAGCAATATAGTATCAGTCTTGCTTCTCTGAGATGAGGGGATCTTCTGCCCCTCCCCGGGGCCACAGAACTGGCAACAAGGTGGAGATGTGGCACAATTGGCCCAGACCAGATTTGCCGAGTGGTGGTGACGGTTCTTGGGAGGAGGCATTGGAGTCACTCCCCAAACTCCCCCCAATGCTTTTTTGCTTGATAGATTCTGAAGGACCATCCCAGGGCAGATATAGCCTCTGATCCAGGTGTGGAATCATCAGGATGATACGTGGATCATGGCTGGAAAAGGGTGTGTGCAGTGTGAGGCCGAAGGACCTTGCATGTTTGCACAGCTTGAGGGGCTGGTTCAGGGCCATCCTTTGGTAAGCATCCCATAGCAAGGCCAGGACAGATGGCAGACTGGGCCTCACGGCCAGTGGTTGAAGCATTAAAGCATTTGGTGGTGGTTGAGCCAAGCAAGGGCATGGCGGTGTGGAGGTGGTGACAGACGCTCACAGCCAGAGCCGAAGCTGGGGGAGATGAAAAGCAGGTGAGGCTGGCTGGGAGCTGGCTGCAGGGCCTCCTGCCCGGTGTCTTCATGTCGTCTCCCCAACTAGGAGAGCTTCCTCAAGGCCCCGCCTGTGGCCAGGGCCCATTTCCAGGTAAATGCCTGCACTGACCCCTCGCCGCTACTCCTTGGTGGTGCAGCGTGGGGGGCCTGCCTCGGCAACATAACCTGGGGGGCAGTGGCAGCGGTAGGAGCCCTCCGTGTTCTCGCAGTGACCGTGGACACAGAGTGCTGCAGGCCCGTTCAAGTCATCACATTCATTCACATCTAAGAGGAGGAGAGGGAAGAGAGAGCTGTAGGGAGCCCACGTGCCTCCGGCCTGCTGCCTCTGCCCCTCTGGCCACTAAGCCCTGACTCCTGCCTTGCAGTGGAATCCTAGATGTGGCAGCCAGAGGATAAAGCCACTGCCCAAAAGGAAGCAACTCACGGATGCAAAGCCGGTGATAGTGAGCCCATACTGTGGCCATGCTGTCTTGTCCCTGCCTTTCTTCTATCTGGGAACCTCCATGGAAAGGGGTTTCTAAACACAACGTAGGCCTTTGGAGCTCTCACCCCTCGGCCTGGAGCCCGGCAGGCCTGCTAGGGGGCAGCAGTGGATCTCCCAGCTAGGCTCAGTCCTGTACCTTCAGTGAGCAGTGGGCCAGTCTGACTTTTCCACATGGAGCCAGCAGGGCCGTCCTGCTCCCTGGGCATTGCCACTCTGATTCCAAACCTACCCACACAGGCCATGTTGGCCGTGTCCAGCTGGAAGCCCTCGAAGCAGTCACAGGTGTAGCCCTCCTGCACGCGCACGCAGCGGCCATTCTCACAGCCGTTCAGGATGCCGCACTCCTCGGCCTGAAGCCCTTCGAAGCCGGCATGGTGCTCTGGTAGGAGGGAGTCAGAGAGAGAAGGGGTCTAAGGCCTTGTACTCCACCCTGGGGCCCTCGCCCTCCGCTCAGAGGGTTTCCCCTAATGAACTCCTGGGGTCGGGGTGGGGAGGATCATAACACTCTCACAGAAAGATGCTGAGACAAAAAGCAATACTCTTAAAAATAAATACGTGTCATTTTAGATGGAGAGGCACGCTTACTTTAAATGAGGGCTCTGGGGAGGTTGGGACTCACTGCTTTCACAACGCCAGGGCTCCTGAGCGCTTGGGTGTCCCTGTACAGTTTTGATTTTGTTGTGGTTGGTGGCAGGGTATTTTGTTAAAATCTTTACATAGTTTTTTGGGGGCGGACACGATTGGTAGCAAAAGGGAATTACCCTCACTCACCACAAAGCAAAACTCCTCCAAGATCTGCCTAACCCTCTTCTTTCTCTAAGCAACCCCCCTCCCCTGGAAAAGACCCTGTCCCTAATCTCAGTGCAATTTTGATCAGTCTGATGCAGTGGCTGTCGCCGTGGCAGGTACCGCGTCCAATGCACAGATGCCAGGCCCAACTACCTCATTAGAATCCAAGTCCCGAGTGCTGGGGTCATTGCCACTTACAAACTGGGTCACCACAGTGGACCTTTAAAATGATTAGAAATCCTTGATTCCCACTTCAGGTCACAAGCGTGAACCCGTAGAGCAGGGTATCCTGCATACTGTAAGTGGCGTGCTGGGAGTGTGTTGCTGTCCCCCTCCTCAACTCTCACAGGCAGCTTTTGGGGTTGGGGTGATGCCCTCTACCTCTCTGTGTCCCCTGTGCTAGTCCATCAGAGGGAGGTGTTAATGTGTGACCCGGGCGTTTGGAATTCTCCCTTGAGTGACCCGTGAGGGGGCTTGGGGGTCTTTTCCCTTCCCTGTCCTCACCCTGCTGACAGTGATGAGCAGATGGAGGAGATGGAAGTGAAAGAGCTTCAGAGCCCACCTCGTCCCCATTTTTGCAGCAACACAGACCTGGATGGCTGGCCACGTAGTGGGGCTGGAGTTCTGAGGGCTGCAGGGGAGGCTCAAGGACCGGTGTGCGGTCCCCTGGGCGGCTGGCCGTGTTGGGCAAGAGCGGCTCAGGGATAGTGTCCTCGGGGCCCAGGTAGTTGTAGAAGGGGACCCCGTCTGGGCCGTAGAGGCTGTAGTGCAGGTCGTCGGGCCCAGGGCCATACTCGTAGCCGGGCCGGAAGTGGACCCCGGCCTCCCGCTCCGCTTCAATGCGGGCCACGTTGCACAGCTGAGCGTAGACCTCTGTCAGGGAGGAGGGAGAGAGGAAGCTGGGCCTGGCTCCTGGTAGCTGAAGCCTGGAGTGCTGTTTCCCCAGCTCATGCTCACCGCCCCACGGAGAGAGGGAGCGTGCTGGGACTGCCATCCTCTGTCCCCCGCTCTGTCCCCAAACAACAGGGACGGAAGACAGGGCCTTGACTTGCCCTACTCCGTTCTAGATCCACAGACCTGGATGGCTGTGGATTCCAAGGTGAGGACATCCCCTACCCTGGGGCCCAGCCCAGCTCTGCAGGTGTCCCCCCTTCCCTCCTTCAGGCACAGGCTGCCCTTCTCACCAGAGCTCCTAGGGGGGCACAGAGCACACTGCTGGCTCCAGGCCTCGCCGTCCTGGCAGCAGCACTCAGTGTAGGTGGTGTGGCGCCCGTGCAGGGGATGGCTGCACACGTAGTTGGTGACTTTTTTCCAGCAGATGTCCGTGTGGATGTCATGGTCAGGCAGGTCCTCTGGTGGCACAGGGCATGGAGGCATGTGAGCCCCCCAGCCCAGGTCCGCTCCCCCAGCTGCCCCACTGCCCCATGGCCCCCCCCCCCCCCCCTCCCCCCC